TTATTTTTTATTTATTTATTTCGCCCAATTTTCCAAAGTACAATAAAATTTAACTATTTACATTTTTATAATCTATACGTAGGGCTAGAGATCTTTTAGAAACCCTTTTGGGCTTTTATTTTAAGACCCCTAGTTATAACAAAACTTTTATTACTTAGTATAATTTCATGATGTCATAAAAATAGTACATAATATAATAACGAAAATATATACAATTGTGAGAGTGTTTAAAGGAAAGTTAGTCTATTTACAAGATTTTTCAGATTTTTTAAACTTTATACATTAAAATAGGATGATTAATTAGCTGATTGGTGTGATATAAAGTATGTTTTCACATTTTTTTTGAAAACCATATATGATCCAATATTTTTTAACTCCGTACTTAAATTATTCCAAATGTCAATACCTTTACTAACAACAGATTGTTTTCTATAGTTTGTTCTTGTATAAACTTTATGCAATTTTTTTGAATTTCGCGTGCAATGTTCATGAATGTTTGAATTTTTTATGAAGTATCCATTAAAAATGTCGGGTAAATCATTAGTACAGTTGCAACGGTACATAAATAAGCTGGTAAGGTAATCGTTAATTTTGAAAATATTTAATATTTTCAAATCATTAAATAGCGGTTTTGTATGTTCTGTGTATGATTTAAATTTCATTAATCGAATAATCTTCTTTTGAATTCTGAAAAGCTTTTCAATTTTCGAAGGGTATGTATTACCCCAAGCTAAATTACCATATGTAAGGTATGGATAAATTAAAGCATAATAGGTCAACTTTATAGTGTTCAAGTTCATAAAATGTCGCAATTTTGAAATTAGTCCAGTAAACTTGACAATAGTTTTACATATAGAATCAATATGATTGGTGTCATCAATGGTGTCAAAAAGCGTACATCAGCGTTAACCCCCTCCCTTCCAGCGTACGCTTGAGAAAATGGTGATAATTATGGATGTCGATAATTGGTGAATTATTAATTACTTAATTTTTACGGAAAAACAATGTCGGAAATATCAATACGTCCACCTTAAGTTTTCATTGTGCACTGATGTTTTAAATTACAAAGAATATGAAATAGAATTTTAAAATATTTTGTGGCAGAAATAGAAGTAAAAGAAATGGGAAATCGTTTCTGCATTATTGTGATTGGCTTTAGAATATTACGTCGCTAAGATTGCGTCATCTGTCCCACAGAGATTATAAATTTTCGAATATAGAGTGGGCATTGCGGGAAAGTCGAGGACAAATTGAAGCTGCCTAATGGGGGCAAATAACGCTCTTTGATTGGCTAAAATCTTGCTGCTCGGATGTAAATTCTCATTCCTGGATGCAAAGCGCGACGTTAAGGGGGAGCGGGAAATTACGAAAATGATCAAAAGCATCAATTTTTCCAGTTTTAGCATAGTTCAAGCAAGGAGTAAAAGCTCAAAATTAACAAGAATACCTGGACTTTAATGCGAAACGGAACGGTAGAAATGTTTTAAAGTGATTTTTTCGATGTTGAAGAGCGGTGTTTTCTTCGTGGCTTCGGCACGTCCAAATTTTTATCATTTTCCACGATATTAAGCGGAAATCTCTCAATTTTTTCGCCATAATGTAAAGCAGTCAGTCTGTAAAGCAGTAAGTCTTAAAATCTCTATGATCTGTCCTGTGATGGCTGTCGACCAATGAAAATGCGGATTGAACTTAAAGATTATTATATAAATGTTATTTGATTACATTTACTAACGGACAACAGTGAAATTGACCTGGCAATTCAAAACTTTTGGCTTGCCAGCCTCGTCGTAGGAGAATGGATAAGTAATTACGTGTTTGCCCAGGGAATATCTCCCTCCAGATATGGCACCGGATGGATGGACCGGGCCTGGCGTAGGAACAACATCATTGGTGCAGGCTGCTTCTTGTTTTGGCCAACTGACCTTTCCTGTTTGTTGACCTGGTTCAGCATATGCAATAAATGGTGTCACAGGTTTGGTGCAACGGCATACGACTGGAGATAAAATAAAAATGGTGCTCATATTAATATTGGAAATCTAGAGGTCATTCGAAAACTGCGCTCCTCCGCCAGCTAATGTCAACTACGAATTCATGCTTGAACAAAAACATGTCCTTGATTGCTCGTTCCTTTTTTGCGCCTGAAAAACAAGACAAATCTTTGCGCCAAGATTTGGTCGACTTGAGATTGGGTATTAAACTGTTTGATCGTTTTTTTTTATCATCCTGTTGACAGACGAAACAGAAACACACCAACCGATGTGAATACATAACCTTTTGGCAGGGTTTGGCTGGTAATAGAAAACATAACGACATTTAATTTAATACAATGAGACAGGCAACTTCCGTAACAAGGACAATCACGCGATATAGACCAAGAAAAGTACACACTAACATAAAGAATTATAAAGATGATGTTTAGATGTTTTGTCACTGGAGAAAGTGTTTGGAGGAGGTATTTTGCAAACACTGTTCCATAATTTTACTATCCTGTTGAAATAAGAATCCTGATATTTAGTGGTGTTATATAAAGGAGTCTTGAGCGTCAGATTCACATTCAGAGTACGTTGGGAACGGATGTGGGTGACAAAAGAGACATAGTCGTGCTATAATGCACAAGAGGATTCAAAGAACACGACTGTAATTGGCCCATTGTAATTGGTGTTAAGCTGTTGTGGTGTCCCAGCTTCTTTGATGCAATTATTGTATGATGTTTGGAAGCGAAGCACAATAAATAAAAGAGCCTATATATAGTGTGTTTAGTTTCTTATATTGGATTCAATTCCAGAATTTTTTGCCGGCGGGTACTTTCAGTTTGTTTTTGTTTTGAAAACGGTGTGCATGCATGATACGCTTGGCTATAATTTGCATGGGTATTGTGAGTTACTTAGACTAAAATCTGGAACTTAGTGCTGTAGAAAAAAGCACTACGCAACAAGAGACGTAAGGCTGTAATAACTGACTAAAAGCTAGCAGAGAGTTACAGTTGTTTTAAAAGTGAACTACTGCTCAACAGAAGAAAAGCATTGATGAAGTTGAACCACAGAGTAAATACATATACAGAGCTGTAACTAACCGTTGTAAACACTGCGGAAGCTTACGTTTTCATGTACCCACTTTTTTCAGGCGGCCGGCCAAAAAATGATCAACTGCTCGTGCTCGGCAAGTTTTAAAGGGGCGAGCCGCTATCCAATGCATCTAGTAACTTGCCGAGCACGCGCACAAGAAAAGTGGGTACACTAGTTACAACTCTGTATATGTATGTACTCTGTGGTTGAACGTTAATACGCTTTGATTGCACACGTAAGCTAGCTTAGGGGCCATTCACAAAGGATGTCCGAGCCAAGGGAGGAGGGGGGTTTGGAAAATCAGGACAAACTCGGACATAGGGGGGAGGGGGGGGATTAGAAATCCGGATGTCCGAAATTTAAAAAAATTCAAAAACAAATTTCGTTTTCCCTCTATTTTGAGCAGTCCTTCTCATTGTGAAATTGGCATTTTGACTGTGCGGTTAACACTAGATTTTGTTTTAATTAGTAATTTATATGTTTTTGTATTCACATTTATAGTTATAAAAAAGTTCTAAAAGTAAAAAAAGTTTTTTACTTTTGACATATACAAGATTGTGTGAGTTTTTGCGAGGCATGGTGGATGTCCGGGGGAAGGGGGGGAGGTCACTAATTCGGACAATGCCCCTTAGTTTAAATGCGTGCACTTTTAAAGTTACACCACAGACTGAGGAGATACTATAGCCAAAAATTCGTAACCGCCGCCACGCCATGATTCGCAATGCCAATGATTCGCCATCAAAATCTTAGCCAGTGCGCTTGCGAGAGGCATTTATCCCCTGAACGTCCGCCATTTTTAATGTTTTTTTTGGGGGGGTGAATGCCTCTCTAACAGCACTGACTAGGAACATGGCGCCATGACGACAGCATTGTAAAGGTTACGCTAAAATCGTAGACGCCGACATACATGCAAGAGGTCAGATTTCTTTAAGTGTTTATTCTCTGGCTATACGCTGAAGATGTGTCGGAATAACCTTAGTTTTGGATTCATTTCCTTAAACGTAACCAGAGAAACCACATAACATGGCTCGTGTAGCAGTACTTACCTGCAGGTAAGCCGCACAAAGGACCCACCAGTTTATTCACGACATCGTTCAGCTCCGTTAAGTCTGCTTTGAAAACGTAGTCTTCTTCTGGCGGTGATGACCATTTGACAATGTAAGAATAGAATTTATTAATATTCTCTTCTTTACCAACTGCCAAGCCGAAAATTTTCACATTCTTGCTCTTCAGTTCTGTCGAAAAGTTATCAGCCACTGGTATTTGATTTTTTCTGCCATTACTTGGGTTTGGTTTTCCATCAGTGAACAACATAACAACGTCGTCTACTCCAGCACGGTGATTTAATGGACTTGCTGACTTAAATGTCTTTAAAAACAAGAGGATTGTTTGGTTTAAATGATTGATGGTCGATTGATTAATAAGTATTTTATTATACAGTGTGTATAAAAAGTGCACAGTTCTAAAATGTCTAGTGTAACTACATTAACCTGAAAAATGCGCAAAATTTGTGACAACTTTATGTTAGTATGGGGAGTTTGAGGTCTTCTGGTATTTCTATTACAAAGTTATTCTGAAAAGTAAATTTTCGGTGTTTTATAAATTATGAATTACCGTCGATTGCAACTAAGCGGAAACATGTCATGAGAAAATGCGTCCAATTGGCTGTCAAACATGATTGTTTGGATTTCAAACATCGCATGATTTTACTGCAAACATTTGCGTTTCAGCTGTCAACTGTCAATATTCCAAATTTAGAAACACATTCATATTGGGCGGGGATTAGCTTGCAAACACTAAATCCGCGATTAAATTCGTCTGAATTAAATTGGACGTATGAAACAGGCCTTAGTGAAGTTCTAACATACTGCAAGTTTGCGAGTTTTGCGTTTATAGTGGACAAATCAGTATTGTTTGCAATGTTCGTACTAACTTTGTTACGTTTTCGCGGGAAAAATAATTATAAACCGTCAAATGTTTGCAACAAAATCATGTAAAGTTTGAAGTCCAAACATGGTATGTTTCATGTCCAATTAGAGCGCGTTTTCTCATGACGTGTTTCCGCTTAGTTGCAATCGACGGTATAAAGTACCAGACAATTTAAAACTTGAGCTTTTTTCCATAGTAGCCTTTTACGCATAATTAATTTTATCATTTGTGGGACTGGTTATATTTGCATGATTGATTTTATGCATGATTAATTTCTCGCACAATCTTTACAAAAGCTTAAAGACGCTTCAAGTCCGTTCTGCTCATGCGCGTGTTTTGTTTACATTTTTGTTTCAAACAGTAGATAGTTGATTAAAATTCCGATCTGTGGGCTCACAAGTTAGCTCATTACGCATTCAGAATATATCACGAAGGGGAAATTGAAATTGGGGCCAGAGTGCTCAAACGACCACAAGGGAAGTGAGCTTTGCATTATCGCTAATAGACACCCATTAACAACTCCGCAGAGTGCTCAACAACACCGAAGTGAAGGAGCGTAATAGTACAATCTGCAGACATGCATGTTTCGGCGTTCAACGCCTTGTCAGTGCAGCTTGGTACACGTCTAGATACGTGAGACAATCGTATTTATACCCCCAAAAACTTGCTCTCACCAAGGCATGTGGTACAACATGGTGAATCAACGCATCCAGACATGCGCAGAGTGTAATGGGGCCATATATGAGAGAGATATATATATATATATATATATATATATATATATATATATATATATATATATATATATATATATATATATATATATATATATATATATATATATATGTTAATGACCACTAATTCTGAGCCATAATATAATATGTATGAACGCGCGTAACCGTAATTATAAATAGCTAATGAAAAAAGGCTAGTGCTGACACAAAACAACATAATTTCATGTTTACAATTTTTAATCATTAACAAGATTTTATGTCTGCTATTGAAATATTTGCTGTATGTATTAGCATGATGAGTTTTATTAAGACCAAGGGTCTTGAAAGTAAAAAAGGTTTCGTGAATCTTACCTGAAAGAATAATTAATCTTTCTTTATAATGAATTGCTGCATCCACAAGCGAAGCGAAACGACACTTTGTAAAACAAGTAAAGTGCGAGAAAAATATTAAGATTTTTTAGCTCAAAACTAGACCGAAAACGTAAAAAATAGTTAAAATATTTGTGGAAAAACTGGGGGGTGGTGAAGGACATCGTTGGAACCGTAGGATCGCGGTTGGTCACTGGAAGTTACCATGAGGATAAAGTAAGTGCTGTCAAGGAAATAGCGTATTCGCGTGTGACCTTATTAGTTATTTACTAACAAATTTACCACATTCTTGGTTTGCATGTACTTATTTTTGAACAAGTATACTTGCAGTCATAGAAAAAATTGGCAAAGTTACTGATTGAGTTATTGTTATATTATATTAAACCTTGTCATAACCGGCTCTATAATATTTAATTCCAACTATAATAGATGCACTATACACCAATACTGTATTAATAAGAATTTATTTCGTTCAATGGAAAAGTCCAATTCTCTACAAACATAATATATCCAATTCTCTGCAAATATATAACATACCCAATTCCCTACAAACATAATATACCCAATTCCCTACAAACGTATGCCGGTAACACTAATCTATCATTGTTCGTGCAATGCATATTCAGATAACATACTGTTGTCATTCTCTATATACCTATAAGCAAGTATAAAGTTCCTTGAAAGGTGAAAGAATCAGTTCTGTACAGGACACTTTCCACGAGGCGCAAGAATGGCTCGTTCACTGTTGCAACATGATTCGCTGAGAGCATTGTAGTATTCCAAGCCACAACATTGATAGTCAGGTTTCTTCTTATAAATTTTACCACAGCAGCAAACATGAGTGGCCGCGTCATAAGTCGTTTTACCGCAAAATTCTCCTAAAATGCAGGCATGGAAAGTGATGATAGACGTATAAAATAGCTATCAAGTGTTGCTCCAGTGTAAGTAGTATGCCACAAAAACTAGCAGGCTCTTAGACATCAGGGCAGCAACCAATTTTAATCAGTGCCGTCGCTAACAAGGGCTTTTAATTAAAGATAGATAGGGTACAGGTCCGGTCTGCGCATGCGCACATAGGGATCTCCTGCCGTAATATAAACACTTTAATTAGGTTTTTATTTCATTTTATGTTCTTGCAAAGCCCGATTGTTGTATCTTGATTATTTATTATACTGTAGAAGCATGAAAATATAATTAGTTGTCGAATAAAGTTCAATATTTTGAATAAAGAAATGTAAACAAAGGCTTTGTTTACATATGGACTGTACCCTACCTTTGAACTTTAAAAGTAAACGTTGTCTAATCCGAGAAAATCAAAGCTAAAGAAGTTTATGTAATCATTTACATGATTTTTTATCACATATAATACCACCGACACGGTAGTGACTTCCTTTGTCTTCTCCACACGAATCATTAAGGTTACAGAACACCTTTGAGTGTTAATTTTGCCTAAAAATTTTTTATTGGTTTCAATGAAAGCATTAGACTAGTTCTACTATCTGACCAAGTTTGAACGAAAAATGTTGAAAACTCGCAGAGTTATTTAATAAAATACATTTCGCTGCAATAAGAAAAATATTGAAAATGTAATATTCAAATTCAATTTTCTCCCGAAAAATTTTACGGTAATTACTAATTTTCAAATTAGTTGTGCTCCTGCGGGTTTTAACCAATTTTTCTTAAATTTTCACAGGTCATAGCTAAATACGTCAGTTTCAAAATTGTGTTTGGCTTTTGTTTTTAATTTTGGATATTTTAAAAATAAAGAGCAATTCACTCAAACAATTCAGAAATATATTGCAGTCGTCAAAGAAATCGCCATATCAGCGGAATGACGAAATAAACAAAAATTTCCGAACACAATTTTTTAGAACAACTATTTTACTGTATAAAAATGATATTTTCATAAATATAACTTAAAACCAGCAGGAGCACAACTCGATCAAAAGCGTAACGGTGCTGCGATTTAAGATTTTCTTGAGTAATTCTTACATTATTTTATTGTTTGTTAATTTTAAACTTTACCATATTTTGCATGCACTGGAGAACATTTGAGCGCGCAGTAGCGATTTTCCGCAAAACGCCAAAAAGGGTGTCCTGTAACCTTCTTAATGCTTCTCTAAGTATACTATTTAAAACACGAGCAGGAGTGCTTTATTTTAAAAAACGACCCATCTGATGAGTTCATTGGCGAAGTAGATTTAAAACTAAACGTAGTCTAAGCCGAGAGAATCAAAGCTAAAGTTTATGTAAATGAACATGATTTTTTTAACAGGTGGGAAATTTGTCTGAGCATGCGCGAGTAAAATGAGTCACGCAATTGTGTGGAATACACGCAACGCGTGTTTACAAAAAGCACAATCGTGTAAATATTGCAAAATGTTTGTACAAAATAAATGACTGTTTTATGTTGAAAGAGTGAACATGTTCTAAATTAATCATACAGAACTTTTTAGTGACGTTCTATTTCAGTACCCTGCCATTGTCTCTGGTGGGCTGTCCGTGTGCATTCGATCTGAAACAGTTGCTACTTTGCTGTCGAAGAATTTCGAATGTTTACATGAAAATAGAGGCAAGTCATGCATTTTACAACCTCTTAAACTGTATGAGCCCCTATTTTTACGCTTATACCCAAGATATCAAATAAAAGTACATGAAACAGAGAACATTTGTAGAAAGTTTTATCGTGAGGCCACGGCCAGTTTTTAAAATATCTTTATTTCTGTTCCGGTCATCACCAAAATTACACAAAAGCCGGGCTTGAATATACAACAAATTTTGAATCGCATCAAGCACAAAAATACTTAACGTGTAACCAAAATATGCTCATGAAATCGAAATTAATAGCTAAATTTTCAAACTAGACCCTTCTCGAAGCGGTTTTCATGAAGGAAGTTCACATTTCGGCCTTTGATTCTTGGCAAAAATTTGACCACAACACGTGCGAAGCAACTGGGTCTCAAAGACTGAACTAAAACATTGTGAGCCCCTATTTTCCTGACGATATGTTTGATACCTACAAACGCCGAAAACTTTTTTCTTTTAATTTAGCTATATTTGAAATTGAGGCCACGGGCTATTTTTGAGAAAATACAGTTCAAAGTCAAGCTATTTTTACATATTTTCAAAATTTGTCAAATTTCGCGAGCTTGTATTTTGAACTTAGACAGCTGAAGTTACATTAACAAACATAGGATGGAAAATTTGAGGCATATAAAGTTAATTTCAACTTACATTTCATTCTCAAATCACGTCTTTCTTCGTTTATTACGGTTTTAAACAAGCCATAGATCGACGTATACGGTATTTACTCCCATGTTCACGTCGCCATATGAACTTCTTCCAATCACTCGATTACAAAACAATCATCCCAAAACAAAGAATTCATGATCGACTTTTAAAAGAATAACAAATAATTTGTAAATCGTTGAATGGAAAGCATAAAATCGTCAGCTAAAACAGCTTCTTGCTAACTTTCTGCTTTGTTTTGAATGTAAATGCAATGAGCTTTGTTTCTGCCCGCAATTTTTTGGTCAGCGACGACAAATTTCCCACCTGTTGATTTTTTTATCACATATATAGAATCACCGACACGGCAGTGATTTCTTTTGTGTTTTCCTCATACAATACTTATTAATAATTCATAAACCTTGTGGCAAATCATGTCAGCTATAATATGTCACGTGGAATGACTTTATATCTGATAAAGCATGTGGCATTATATAATTATTTATCCTAATTAGTATTCTTTTGGTGTCGTATTTTAAGCTATTCAAAACACTCGTTGTTGTGTTTTATCAGACATAAAACGCTCGGCTGCGCCTCATGTTTTAAATACATATAACATACCTGTGACGACGATATTCACATAACATTTTATATCAAAAGAGGTTTGTTTGTTTGCGTACTTGTACTTGTACGTACGCTTGTGTTGACCAACTGAGAACCATCCACTGGTGCTTGATGGATTACTTGCGCTTGGCGTGGTTGTGCAATTGGGTGTAGGTTCTGTCCAAGCGACCAAGACTCTCGTATCACCGGGTTGCACTTTGGCATTCACTGTTTGGGTAGTGGGACATTTGCAGGCTAAATGAAAAAATTAAAGTAATTATGACACATCAGGCTTTTGGGTCGTAATAAACTATTTTATTAACAAGCAAACGATTCGATCTCTTAACAATTTGATAGCTTCAACAATCAATTCTCACTTTGAATTATTCTGGCTTCAAAATGTCTCACTGAATTCGAAAGGATGGTCTACTGATCCAGTGTTAGATACTGAATGCTACTCCAGACGTTTACATTTGGATAAGAAATCAACTTACTATAGTTTGATCTAATTTTGGATAAACGTGATACGAAAAGTAACTTAAAGAATTGTGAAACAAGTTCGTTGATAACTGGATGCGAAAAAATTTCATGAAATGGATGTGAGCAGTGAGCATGCGCACAATGCGTAAGCAACAATGACTCATCCTGTAGAGTGCTCAATATGACACAAGGGTCATAGAGCAATATCTAACTACAGACGGTACCGTTTCGGCCTTTTGGGCCTCATCAGTGTAGTGCTGATGAGCAGGATGAAAGTGACCATTATAAATAGTTACCCGTTCATTTTGTGGATGAAACGTTACCCAACCTTTCCGTACCAACCGAAAAAAATATGATTAATGAAGATTCGTCTTAAGAAAACCCACCTTGCATTGTGATTTTTACATCACATGTTATGTCGAAGGCATTAATGCTGCCTTCTGCGTGAGTGTAGACGTATTGTATTGTGTGTTCTCCTTCGGATAACCGTCTCCTCTCCGAGTTGGGTGTTGTATCGATGTGTTGTGGAGAAGATAACATTGTGGGGCATGTGGGTTCAGGTATGTTCCATTCGGCTAGACCATCGGTTTCAGAAGGTCCAATTACTCCGCTAAGTTGTTGAGTAGGAGGACACTCACAACCTTAAAGGATGAATGGAAATATTACTGTCAGTGTAAGAAAGTAAATGAACTATCTGGATAGCTAAGTTAGTGTTGAATCCCCGTGTTTATTGACTGCTCTCAATTCTTGGTACGGCACGGATAAAAATGGTTCCCTCGTACCAAATTTATTGACGCTCGACCTTTGGAAGCTGGCAAAAATTTTGACTAAAAAAACTTCAGTAAGATAATTCACCAACAGTGATCAAATTTACTCTTTTTTTTAGAAATGTACTGAAATGTTAACTCAAAACATTGAGAAAGTTTGAAACATTTCTCAAAAAAATTGTATAGTCATAAAACTGAGTAATTTTACTTGAATTAACATTTTGAATACTACATTTTTTTCAGCCTCAGCGTATATATTAGCCTGCGTGCAGGTCCAAGGGAACTGATAGTGGGCCTGCAACCATCACCCCATGTTTTCGATTTTCGCCGGCCGAACCGCCGGCTAAATTCCCATTGGCTAGCTGAGGCGATCGGTAATTAATTAACGTAGCCCGCGTGCAAGCCCCAGGGAACAGTGATTCATCACAAAGGCATAGACAAAGGCTCTCGATAAGCTTAAAATTTGAAAATTGATCACTTTTTTCGATTACAAATGGAACAAGAACAGACTGTTTATTGTTTATTTGAAGGAAGACATGTTTTTGCCGTTATACCAATGGGGATTGCTTGTCGTGAGGTGTTGGAATAGCAAATTACGACTGGGGTAAACTATAGTAACCTTTACTTGAATTTCATTAATTTCAAACAGACTTCAGTTGATACGTTATGTGTTCTCACTTCCTCAAGAAAATTATCTTTTGGTTGATGTTGAGATGCAGTTGCATGTAAGGACTGGAAGCTTATTCGAAACACTTTTCGATTTACAAGGCTTCGCTGAGAGAGCGAAACAGAAGGCGGTATTAAATTGCCGTTTGAAACGAAACCTCGAACTAAACGATCTGGACTCGGAACGCTCTCTTCTTTTGTAGAGTTCTTTACCAAATGAAATAAATTTCGTACTTTCCGCCGCCAACAAGAATTGCACACACGATCTGATAAGTGAGGCAATTTATTTATAACAATGCCAATGGCGACAGCGAAGCACACATAATATAAATCCTAATGTGGTCGCACGACTTCCCTCATGATTTGAAGTTTGAGACTGGTTTTCTGTTGAAATTCGTCCTAATTTGCCTGTTCCGATTTTAGTTGAAAATGAGCACTTGCAAATTTGGCAATTACTGACTGCGTTGCTTGCTTTTTTGGAGTTAAAACGCAGCCATTTACACATTGTTTATTAGCACTGGTCTAATATTAGATCGGTGTTTATTAGTGTTCTGAATAAGCAGAGAAAACCCCGCAACATTTTAATGCGAGTTTGTTTGTTAATAGTTGGGTGCTGTCATTGGTTCTTTTTTGACAATTGACGCGCGAATGGGGCGTGTTATGAAAAGGGGCGTTTTACAAAATACCGGGCGATGGTTGCAGGCCCACTATCAGTTCCCTTGGGCCTGCACGCAGGCTACGTATATATAGGTAGTGCGAGCACGGATAAAAATTTACAGGTGCCAAAATTGAACGTACTGTAGTGTAAATGGGACTTCTGCAACGAGTGTTTCCAAGTAAGAACGTAGAACAGCATCTGAGACCAAGATGAGTGAAACTGTCAATATACAGTGCGTGGTATACTGAAGAGTGGTTTACACTATCGAAGTTTCTGTTATCACAACAGGAATTTTGCATAGGTAAATTCTAAGTTTTGAAGGATTTGTAAGAAATATTTGAGGGAACTGACTCAGTGTTTATATGCCTCGTTAATGATTTCATTGTTTTACTTTAGTGTTCAAATCTGAGCATTTTTATGAATCATTGACTTGATAATGACGTTCTGTTACTATCATTTGCGAGCTACCGTGAAGCGTACATTTATAATAACTACGTTTCAAAACGTTTCTTCAGCATGATTTGCCATAATAACTTTTGTGGGCGTGGAGTCGAGCACATTGTTTTGCACGCTAAAATTTGTTCTTATTTTTCACACGGACGCGTTTATACTGACAAAATTGCTATAGAAAGCGAAATGACAGATTTATAGCAGCTTTTGGATATGATTAAGTAACAAACCTCAATAATACAAGTGTCCTTTTGAGTTTTGACGCCGAAATTCAAAGTTTTATACCACGCCCACAGAAGTTATTATGTCAAAACAAAAAGTTTTAGGAGCAAAACAAAACGTTTTGAATGGCAAACTCATGCTGAAGAAACGTTTTAAACCTAGTTATAAATGCACGCTTCACGGAAGCTCGAAAATGGTAGTAACGTTGAAATGTCATGAAAATTTCATCAAGTATACGTATAACCAAATATATTTTATTGCATAATATTTAAAGACATTACTCAGGTTACACAAGCTGTACACTGCAGAGATTCTGTGGGAGGGGCACTGATCTCTAAATTAGGACTGGATAGAATATCCTTTTGAATTCGATCAGCCAATTTTTAAGCCAGAATGTTTATAAGATGAGATTCTAAAGTCGGTCAAAACCTTTAAAATTCTAAAGTAGGTCGTCACATTTTAAATTAACTACATTGTGAGTAAAATGGGTTTTCCTATGTGACAACATGGTCAAAACTATGGTCACAACAATATGGCCGCCATTGGCTTCATTTATGCACAGCTGATGCTCTCTCTATAGTCCTAGTTATCAGAGCAGTTTGAGGGGGCATAAAAAACAAGTCAATATTTACATTGCATGTGTGCTCACTATAATTATAAACCAGGTTAATCTGGATTAGGTTTCAATTTTGGCCAAAATTTTCGAACGTTCGAGCGAGCTCAGGCAACTTGGTAACATATGTTTCTTGACTTACCAGCGACTTTAATAGATACGATACAATCTTTGGTCCTTCGCATGGTAGCATCATTGTAAATGAAGCTATATGTAATGTTGTGTGAGCCTTCTTGGAATGCCTGGCCAGACGTCGAACCTTTGGGACTGACCTTCACTTCATAATTGCTTGGTTGATTGGCACATGTGAGAATGGGTTCTGGCCACTCCGCAATAGCATTGCTTCCCTTCTTGGTATATACCGTTTGTTCTGTTATCCCTTTACAGTCACAATCGCCTGCAAAGAAGATTGAATACATATAGCATAAGGTTCTGTTTTCGCGATTCTTGTTTGGATTATTATGTCGAACCACCTTAACTTGTTTCGACCAGTTTCATCATTTGAAAGTTGAGTGCTTGAAATTCAGTGTTCACATGCCTTACACCAATATTTTCATATATATGAGTCACGATTTATGAACAGTTACTATTTTTAGGGTTAGGATTAGAGTAAGGATTAGGATTAGGATTAAGCTTAAAATGCAAAAGAATACAAAATTACAAAACGTGACAGGTATAAATATTTCCCCCCAGACTTGCACGACTCTTAATTCTCTAGCTCTCCTTGTAAACATTTTCATTTCTTTGCGTGAGGCATAATTTTCCGCCTTATCTATACTAATTAACATGTGAGGGTGTATGAAAAACTGCACAGTTCGAAAAACTTGGAAGGTGGTTTATGAACCGTATATCATACTATCAGGCAGTTTCATATACACTAAGTCCAACGCGCGACCCTTAGAATTTGGACTTTTTGCCGTATTAGTCGTTCACATTAAACGCATGACTGATTTTATGCGTTTTATTCCTAAACAGGAATCAAGTGATTTTTTAATACCATGGACTGGAGGGGGGGGGGGCATTTGCCCCATTGGGCCCCTTCCTCTACCCCACCACTGAAGAAAAAATGGCCTATTGCCCCAAAGCCAGGGCCCTATGACCTGTATTGAGTAAATGAGTTTATTATTGAAAAGAAGTTTAAAAAACAAAATTTGTTGGTGAGCATATTTAAACTTATGTTCTATTTGGATGTTTAGCATGCAATTTATTACAAATTTCACCATTAAAACTTTGTTTTGAGAAGCTGAGATTTTTTAAAAATGTGTTCTCAGAATGCATGAAATACTATTTCAGAGACCCAAATTTTAAAAATTTCTTGGGGGACATGCCCCCAGACCCCCTAACTAAATCGAGCCTGCGGTACTCAGCTCACACCTTGTTGAAATATTGGTGTCGCCACCTTATATGGTTCTAGAAGGCAAACTGTTGGTTATTTTGTTAACCGAATATCAAATGAATTGATTAAGACGATAGTATAAAAATCTGAAACTTTTGTCGAAGCTTATTGGTTGCAATACCACAAAAAAGGGGAGTGGTTTGGGACAGCGTGCATAGAAAACTTAAAACCTTGATTGATTTTCTTAAACAAGGGAAACGAAACATGCATGACTTAAGGCCGTTTTCCATTTTAACTGTACCGTACCCAAACGTACTGGTGAGCTTGTGTAGATTGAAAATAGGTTAATAAATTCACGTATTTCTGGGTGTATTCGCGTATCAAAATGAAAAGTTCATCGCAAGTCAATGTTTACGTTCCTGTACGGTATTGTACGGTACTGTGCGGTACGCTTGTTGGAAACGGCCTACATGGTGTATCAAGGTTTTCACAGTTAGCGTTTTAGCCTTTTAACGCCATCTTTCGTGTGTCACTTCAACCAATAACGACCAAATACGAGCCGATATAAAAATGCTGTCAAAGTCACATGAATTTCTTAACCAAATTGGATTTATTTTTTATACAGTTGTGCAGACATAATAGACCTCGTTATATATGTTTTTGTCTTGGTTTATGCAAGAAATTGTCACGCGTGAATTGTACTTCGCTAGAGCGACCAATACCTATGTTCTCATTTAACCATTGTTAAATGTAATATCATGAATGGATAATTAAACCAACACACTGCTATTTGTTGGTTGAGCGAAAAAACAATACACATGCGGCGATGAACCGACCATTTTTTGCATAAACCAGACAAAAACATATAGATAATGAGGTCTATTATGTCTGCATCGAGTTCCCTAACTTTATTCTATTGATCATGGTGTATCAGAACTTACCCGCTGGAACGCACAAAGGACCCACCAGTTGATCCACGATTTTATTCAGATCTTTCTCCGTTAAGCGTGTTTGAAAATAATATTTTTGGTTTTTCTTGCCTGGTTCTGATGACAAGTCGATAATCGTTTGATTAAAATCTTTAAGCACACTATCTTTGCCAACTGCCAAACCGATAATTTTGACGTTTTTGTCCTCCTTCAGCGTTTTCGAATATTGCTCGGCCATGTCTTTTGCTTTTTCGTTAATTCGTTACTTCCAGCTTTTGGTTCTCCGTCAGTGAACAAAAAAATAACGTCTTCTACTTGTTTGCGGTAATTGAAAGGGCTTGTTTGAGTAAAATTCTTAAAAAAAATAAATTGATAAATTTACAATCATAATAATATATGTACATAAAAATACAACTCGACTGTGGTTGGTTGATTTCAGTGCAGTTAATCTCAAACAGCAGTGCAAAATTCTGTAACAACAGTGCAAAAATCTGTAACAAACTGATCCGATTGGTGGAAAAACAATGGTACCTAAAATCAACCAATCATCTTAAGCAGGCTCCCTACAGTTTCCAATATATGTCAGTGTTTTAAACTAAAAGCTATTTGAATCTAAAAAATGAAAACATGACGTCACCATCTATATGGTCTATATGGAATCGCTTCTTCTTTCATACAGTATATGTAAATTTTGCCTGCTTTATTCAGTAAAACGGCATGCTCACTCTTTGAAGTAGTCTTGCGGGAAATTAAGCGATATACACACGCGTGTCTGCATGGAGGTCAGATTCGGCTTGAAGAAAAAGATAGGAGTTTATCTGAAGGTAGCGCTGGAACTTTTTTCAAACTCCTCACTATGGAAACAGTATGGATCCAATTTTCTTACTTATTGCAATTCCTATACTACGGATATAGTATGGAAATACTATGGATATAGCTACTATGAATTTAGTAATGCAATCGCAAATTCCATAGTATGAATTTCACTATTTTTTCCCGTGTAACGTTCCAGTTATATTCATTTCAATGGACAAACCTGTTAAAATTACTATGTGATTGGCTGCGCATTTCAATGAGAATTTTTTTACGTATCTTGTGATTCAATGGATGATTCCAGCTGTAGACGTAATTTTGATCTAGGCAAGAAGAACGAAATCCATTACCATAGCTGGAAAGAGCATCTTAAAATGAGTAAAACTGCAAAGTTTGGTTGCGAGTTGTTGTAAAATGAGGAAAATTTTACTCTGTGAAGTTCGCAAACTTTGTATATATTTGCATTATACGCGCGGGACCAATTACCGTTTTTGAGCCGAAAGTGGTTATTTCTACAGTGCATAATACAAATATATACAAAATTTGCGAACTTCACAGGGCTATATTTTCTTTATTTTACAACATTGAGCAACCAACCTTTGCAGTTTTACTCATTCTAAGACGCTCTTTCTAGCTGTGGTGTTGGATTTTGTTCTTCTTGCCTTGATCAAAATTTAGTCTAAAGCTGGAATCACCCGTTGGAAACGGAGAAATCCTGAGAATCGATTTCAAGGCTCATAGGGAAATGTGGTTGGCAGTATAAAAATTTCTTTTTTTCGCGGTTGTGACGTCATGCATATTGAACCTTAACCGCTGAGATGGCCGCCCTACAGGCTATACACGCTGTTTTCGAAAACCAACGATACAGAAAAAATGTAAAGGGTTTTCATATATCATTGCAAAAGTTCTTTCAAATATAAGACAGATTTGATTTCTCAAAAGGATTACGAAAAGGATACGAATGGATTTCTGAAGTGTTTGGATGAACATTTGATATTCGATTTCCCCGGATTACGCGGCTGGTCGAATGCCCACAGACAGTAGCATTAGAACGAGGCTAAATTATAATGTTTTTGAAATAATTTAGAACTAAGCCTGGATTTGGTGTCATTGTTTTTGACAACTAGAGCAACATTCGAAATGGTCTATTTTCCCAAATGTGCATGGAAAATGCACTTTCGAACGATTTGGCCATTTTTGATCGCACTTATGCAAAAAGGGTGGCATTTCACAACTTAAAAGACTGTTTTGATGTGAAACGTGCCAAAGTTGGATTTTTGTTGTCTATATACACCATCTATGGAGGATTTTTTTTATCACAGGAATGTTATATACAGGACTATGACTTACCTCGTTTGCAAGCTTGAATGCTTCACCCATGTAGGTCAGGTCACCCACCAGATCCGCTTCATATACAAGTTTTGGGTAGCTTGGTGACTTATACCACTCCAGCCACTTTACATAATCATCACGCGTTGTTTTTTCTCCAAACTTCAACAATGTTCTAGTTTTTTCCAAAGATGAAAATGTGATAAAACCAAGTTGTGTTCCTCCTTCACCCACGTTCAGCTTATTATTCTTGACAAGGTTTAGGAGAAATGGTAGTACTTTGTCTTTGAAATCCCCATAGCCAACAGATGCAGAATTGTCCCAGAGAATGAGAATATCTTTTATGCAATCTTAAATTATAAAATATATATTTGTTGATACACACATCATGGTTATGAACTGAAAAATATACAGAGGCTCAGGCTTTCTTGCCATCCTACTTTTCCTACTTTTTCCTACTTTTCTTCAACTTTCTACTTTTCCTATTCTTTATTAAAAATTGCTTGATTTTCCTACTTTTTCTCATAAAATCCTACTTTTTTAAGACAGCTTGGGGAATCAGTATGTTATAGTTCTTGTAATTAGATCTATAGGACTCGTAGTTTGTATTCCCTATTTGTGTCCCAGATTATAAGATCACGGGAAAAGAAGAAGTACATTTTCCAAGAATAAAATTCCATAGCATCTCTAGAATCAAAATCAACAAATTAATGAAGACTCTAAAAGTGCCATTTCCGACGATCTAGAGACTCCAAATATTCAACAGCCCCACCCCTCAGTTAATCAGACATCGTATGCTCCTGCTGTACAGTGTGGATTGGTGTATGGTGCACCCAAATACATTCACTCACACGCATAATGCATTTGAATTATGTTGCTGCAATTTAAAAGTTTCGAGAAACAAAATTCTTTTATTCCTACTTTTCCTACAATAGCACAATTAGTACAATATATATAGATAGTATATATATAGTACATATAGTATATATATATATATAGTATATATATATATATATATATATATATATATATATATATATATATATATATATATATATATATAAACCAGGTTTATTTTATCTTTATCTATATTAGCTCTATACTTCGGTATATTGAGCACTCTACTCATATATGATTCTAAATGCATATTTGGTATATATATATATATATATATATATATATATATATATATATATATATATATATATATATATATATATATATATATATATATATATATATATATATATATATATATATATATAAAGATTTGGTTTCGTTGGTTATAAAAACTTTTGGTAAAGTGCTCAATGGGAAACCAGAGCATATTTAAATTAAGGTACAACAATCAACAAAATCCACTAGGCATCTTTATTACTAAATAGTTTCGTACCACAAAATGTGGCACTCTTCAGATAAATTGACCTAATGACTATAGACTAAAACTTACAAGGTTATATATGTATACAAGTGGATGAGACTTTAAAAAACTTAATCCTATTTACAAACCACGCGATTTAATTAACATGTTATGTGATAAGCTGACAGGACGCGGAAAGATTAACACACCGCGGTATGTTTAAATGTCTAGCTTTTTAAATGTTACTTAAAAGGAATTTTTTATTAGCCTACATGCAGACACTAACTCATTTCGTTTGTTTAAAGTGGCCATTTTTGGCTTACAAATAATAAAGTATTTCTCCCATAAGTACAAATTACACCGATTTGAAGCACAGTTATAAGGCTTAGCTCGTTTCAATAGTTTCCATTTGATTGTATAATTGATGTTTTTGTTTTTCAATTCCCACACGTAGTTGCTTAGTTCGGTAGCGTTCCGTTTGTCGAAAGAGTTGAATGATGCTTTATGGTTTGCAAGTCTTGTTTTAAACGATTTTTCTGTAAGTCCGACATTTCTGGTTTTCCATTGAGCACTTTACCAAACGTTTTTATAACCAACGAAACTAAATCTTATATATATATATATATATATTAATACTTAAAATTTTTTGTTGCTACTACGAGTTTCATGCCGTAAAGGCAATCATCAGGCAACAGTTTTTGCTTCTGAATATCAACAAAAACTGTTGCCTGATGATTGCCTTTACGGCACGAAACTCGGAGTAGCAATATATATATATATATAAATTCTTCCCGCCGCGGGTCGGTTTCGAACCCGCGACCTTCGAATTACTAGATCGATGCTCTACCAACTGAGTGATGTTGAGATACACTGCTGTTCATTCGTTTCCCCGAGTACTTGTAGAACTTATTACCGAGTTGATCAACCATATTGGATTATACCTGAATTATGAGATGGAGCAGTAGTTGCTATAGATGGTCCACCACGTCTCCAAAGATCATGATCTGTTTTGGGGGAAAGAAAACCATTTTAGGGAAAGAAAACGGTTTTGGGGAACGAAAAACACAACGTGAGTTTGCTGAAGAACTTTTTCATGAAATATTCATAGCCATGCACTAGGCCATTTTCCGACAAAAAAAAAACGCTGCATGATATGGCGCCGCATGCATGCCATGTTTTAATAGGTTTGATGACTTCTTACTTAGATTAAACAGAATAACAGTGTTTACACTGAACCAATTTTAGTAAGCTTTGTCACAATGTATCTCTGAGATGAAACTTTCGATGGCCACGCTCTGTTGGGTAAATTTAGACAAGCAAGATTGAAATGGCGACATGCAGAACGAGCGACATGCATACCCATGCAGAACCCACCCTAACAGGGCTCTATATGATTTGCCCTGTAAAAATCTGGAGGTGGATTTTCGAAATCCAGTTAGCTTAAGGGGCGGACCATTTGATTTTTGAGGGGGGAGGTGGAAGATTCAGTCTGTGCAAGAATTTTTTTTCCGCCCAGGCGAACGAGACAGATATTTTTTTCCTGTAAAAGTGCAGCGCAAGATATTTTTTCCCAATATATTTGGCCGCAGGATATTTTTTTTGCCTCTCATAATAACGGCTTACAGTAACTTTAGGCTTTCATATAGCTATCATCGGAGACATAGCAGGGGTTTTCAGTCAGAGGAGGCCGAGAACTGAATCCCAAGAGGGGCCAAGGAATTTTCACTGTGCTTTATTTTATATATGGTTATGTCTTAATGTTCCCCACACTAAAGCGTGCAAGTTTACTTACAAAGAATGTATAACTGCACCAAAACCTAAAACATGCAGGGATAGAGTAGAGTACTCGAAAATGGGGGAGGGTACAGTATATGAATGACCTGTAACCTTGGGGGGTTCGGGGGCATGCTCCCCCGAGAAAATTTTAAAATTTGAACCTCGGAAATGCTATTTCCTGCGTTTTCAGCCATGGATAATTATCTTAAGCCCAGATTTTCTCAGGGGGGGGCAACAATTTTGCCAGGGAACACCACTGGCTATCGTATGTCAGAGGCTCCAAAGGCGGTAGAATCCCTGTGATGTTATCCACTGTTCACCCCGTGTTCTTTTAAGCAAATGTGCCTGCTCAAAAATGCAAAATCTTGCAAGCCTGTGGACACAATACTGAAGTGAAGAGCATCAATAGAGTTACATGTAGAAAATTTTTTTTTGAGCGCTTTCTTTTGCATGATATTTTTTTTTCTCGATTGTGTGCTGCATGATTTTTTTTTTCTTTCTCCTTGGGTTGCAGGAAATTTTTTTTCCAAATCTTCCACCCCCCACCCCCCCTCAAAAGTCAAATGGTCCGCCCCTAATCCTAACTTAACTGGAATTAATTAAAGCAATTTCTTGACAGCTTGTTAATTAAATTTTCCAGAAATCCTGTCTGGATCAAAGGAAATTTTATTTTCTGAAGTTTTGAAATAAATAGATATGCAGGAATACACAAGCCAATACAGCAGGTTAAAAGATTTAAATCCTGCAGGGTTAGCGCCAATCCAGCTTTGAACACTACCAGCCCCAGGAACATAGCTATTGCATGCATTTTTTTCGTGACACCTATATATACAGTGTATAATAAATTTGCACCGAAGCAAAAGTATATTGAGTGAATAAATTTGAAAACACGTACCATCTATGGCATCATATAGCCCGAGAGCTAAACTGTTATGAACAAATAGCGTCAATAGTATCAACCACTGCAACATCATCTTCAGTATGTTTCACTTCGGTATTTCAATCCTCTTGCTTCTTGAAAGATATCTGGTCTTGAGCTTTTCTCTCGTCGAATGACAAACGGCTGCAGCCACCCTACTTTTATACTGTTCGCCGCTTCAAAATGGCCTGATTTTTAGACGGTAAAATTTGACCGTTATTTTCCGTTGACATGTTGATATTGTTTGGTGCGGATTTACGCGTTAGTTGGCACGACATGACCACTTGAATTCATCAACATTTCGAGGACAGGATGTGAGAAGTGGGATGATCCATTCAAATTAGCAACAGTTTGTTCAAACGTCTCATCCAACAATATGCAAAATTTTACGCCCGTTCGAAATGTCGAATTGAAATTGTATCGAAGTCAATTCGGCCACAGATGATAGATTATACCAGATGAATCACTGCGTATCTATCCCTATGATTTTCGTGTCCGCGATTTTCGCGAGGCTATCACGCCAGATGACGCGTGCGACACTTACTGCCAAAATGGCGCTTACTGCCAAAACGCGTGATTGCTCCAGTATTGCTCATGTTTCATGGCGTGGATTACACTTACTGCCAAAGCCCAAAAGGACGGCCAACGCGTGCTCATAAAAAAATCGCGGACACAATTTTGGCTGAGTGATTCATCTGGTATTATATATAATCTGTGATTCGGCTTAGGCGTTCCCTGGAATAATGTAAAGCTTGCCATATTAAGGCATATAAGAATCTCATTTATAGAATACTAAGGCTGAAATAGGCAAAATTTAAATAATTTACTAAGAATATACCCAAGATTATTAAAAGAACATCTTTCGGAGGAAAGTATGAAAGTATACAGTATACTTTGCTGTGATGAATTTAACTGATATCTTATGGTATACTGTACTCTGAAATTTGAGAATGTCGGAAGAATAGTTTAAGCTCCAAGGAAGCGCACAAGACTTTAAGCTGCAGCAATAGTAAACTTAGTAAACATGCAGGCTTTAATCAACAACATTTCTACCACAAAGTTAAGAATAACAGCTCATAGATGACCGGTTGAAACAGTGATAAAGTATGTATATAAACATTATGATCATCTAAATGGGATCGACAACAAATTTAAACGACACTTTTTAATGTTCTGCAGCAATACAAAGTGGGGGGGGGGGGGTATGATTATTATCCTTACTTGCAGCTGAGAGCCAAGCTAAATTGCGAAGGACACAACTCAAGGGGCGCCTCTGGCAACCATTTTATGACTCGTGTCTGATTGTCTGATCAGGGAGCACAGCTACGATGAAAGGGTTAGTTCAGGGCTAATTCCAGTTTAGGGACTAAGCCCAACCAGCCATGTCAACATTCCCTGTGGTAGGAAACCGGAGTACCCGGTGAAAACCCACGACTTTCGACTGATGGATATCATAACGTCCACGACGGGAATCGAACCCACGATATCAGAGGTGAAAGAGTTCATTTTATAAATTATCTTTGTGAATAAATTCTTCGTACTCTTCATTTAGTCATCAACATTTTTTTAACTTATAATAATGGACAAAGCAATTATGACTCTAGGTACAAAATATAGTTACGACGTTCTGACAATTTTAGAGTAGGCTATCAGCTTTTCCCTTAGTTTATCAGTTTGTTCCTTATATAGTTTGTTCCTTATTAATGTATTCCTGTGATTGTTATGTATGTATCTATATATACCGAAACTAGTATTTAGTTGATTAATTAAATATTGTTTTTATTTACTAATCCAAATATACCGCAAATCCCAAACTATTAAAAACATTCATTATTGTATTTACTGTATGGCACTTGTATAAGGGCGGAGCTATCAAAAAAGTTACTTTTTGAAAATGATTGCTGAGTAATTTTTATATAGATGGAAATTGCGAGCGGAAATTTACATACATTTTAGGCCCGACAGGGAGCAGCTGGAAAAAATGCATCCCTACATGCCATTCAGCTAATCCGCCTTCATAACAGAAGTACAGAACGGCGCAATTCCAAAGAGAGCCGGTAGCATTGAATGTGCTCATTTTGAACTTCTGGCGTGAATGAAGTTTGAGATCCAGTGTTGTTGCTCCCGAACTATTCCATCCGTCGACATGTTGTTATGTGCGGCGCTTATTCGAGGGCGGTGCTTAATTGGGGATTCGGGACCAGTAAGTCATGGAGTAAATACAGTGTTGACAATTTAGTGACCTAGCTGTGCCCAAAGAGCCCAAAATTTGTATAGGAAATGCTGTATCACTAAATGAAACAGAACTACCGTATAGTTCGTTTTCGAAATTCAAAGTGTAGCTATATGAAAAGTGGTTGGAGTGTATAAGTAGTTTGTTCATTGAACCATCTAATACCCGAGTGTTTATCTCTCAATGCTATATCATGCGCTCAATGGGTAATTGCCAGATTATCACCGTTATTAATTACAACGTTTACTTATTGCCGCCCAATAATTATGAACGCTGAGTTGAGTAGTCTAAACACTTGGCTCAAAGTAAAGCTTACATTAAATATGGCCAAGACACAATTTATGGTCGTTTGCTCTCGAGAGAGGCTCATGATGATACTGTATTCTCAAAGCAAAAGAGTTCACACATTTTTATGTACAATTTTATTTTTGTAAGTTTCAATACAACGCAAGTGTTCCGAAGGCCCGGAGAGACTTATCTGGCTTAAAGCCGCCGGGAACCGATCCAATTTTAACAGCATGACTGAAGTAGCAATCTGACGATATTGATGGCCTTCTTCTGCCAACGATAACATGCTTGTTTCATTTTCAAAAATTCTCTATTTTCCACACATCAAAACTGATGGGCGACATTATTATATATTTTTTTAAATACAGCCTATTGACTTCATCACGCAGTACATCATATTTAATCATAGGATTCAAACAGCGAATCAATTTTAAGAAAAATGTGATATGGCAAGTGAGCAAAAGCAAAAAATTTACATATGTCATGAATGATTTAAAATTAAGCAATTTTTTGCACATAAAAACAAACAAATATGGATAGCTACAGTAAATAATCAAAGAATTGCAAATTTTCAAATTTCACAAATAGTAACAGGAAAATTAAGAACATAATTTTCTATCAAATATGGTCAAATCGCCTATCGTATTTCCAATTTTAAACGGACAAAACTGCACGAATACTCTTTCAAATCACTCGTAAAACCTACAATATCTTGTGTTGTCTCTTATTCTTTGTAAATGTCTTCATTTCTTTAACAATTTCGCAGTATTTTGAGCGTATAAAATATAATAACAAAACTAAGTTCATCTTGTTCGCTTATTGTTGCTATGCTACAGCACTCAAGTGGTACCGGAGGTGTGTCTTTTGCAAACAAAAACGTTTCCGGTTTACAAAAATGTTTAAGGTTTCAAAATGAATATAATAAACTGGAAATTGAACTTCGCAATTTTGTAATCACGCGTTTGATTTCAGTCCAAATTGCACTCCACTCAGTTCAATTACAATTATGTATTAGTATAGGTAATCATGCGATGTTGCTCGTACAATTAGGGATTAATAGTACTCGTGATGTTTGGAAATCTTTCCAAAATTGGACCAGCCGCCGGGGCGAGTGCTTTTGTAATTGTTCGTATTTTCATCTGGTTGC